CTATGTTTAGTAAAAATAAAAGGCAACCTTAAAAGATTACATGCTGTATGATTCCATTTGTATGCCTTTTTAATTATTATTAATATTATTTTGATTGACAAATCATTGCATACATTTATGGGATACAATGTGATGTTTTGATATATGTATATACAACGTGCATGATTAAACCAAGCTAATTAACACATCCATCACTTCACTTATCTATCATTTTTTATGGTGAAGCATTTGAAATTTACTTCCTTAGTTATTTTGAAATATATAATACATTATTATTTATTACAGTCACCCTGCTATGAGATAAATCTCAAAACCTATTCCTCCTGTCTATCTGAAACTTCGTAACTTTTGATCAACAACTCCCCATTCCCTTCCTTTAATCCCCTTCCAGCCTCTGGTAACCATATTTTCTACTGTAAGTTCAATTTCTGTGGCAATGAAAGCAAAAACAGACAAATGGGACAGACATTTCTCAGAAAAAGACATACAAATGACCAACAAGTACATGAAAAAAAAATGCTCAGCACCACTAATCATTAGGGAAGCACAAATGGAAACCAGAATGAACTACCATTTCACACCTGTTGGAATGGCTTTTGTCAAGTTCAAAGATAACAAGTGCTGGTAAAGATGCAGAGAAGAGAATTCCTGCACACTGTTGGGAATATAAATTAGTAGAGCCATTATGGAAAACACCATGGAGGTTCTGCAACAAGCTAAAAATAAAACCTCCACATGGTCTATTGATTCTACTTATAGGTATCCAAAGGAACTTAAATCAGTATGTCAAAGGGATATCTGCATGGCATGTTCACTGCAGCATTATTATGTATTTTTAGAATTATATACCATTCTAAAAATGACAAAACCATAGAGATGAAAAACAGGGAAGGAGGCAGATAGGTGGATATAAACACAAAGGTGGCAGCATGAGGGAGTTTTTTATGATAATGGAATAGTTCTGTATCTAGATTGAGGTGGTGGTCACATGAACCTATACATGAAATAAAACTACAAAACTACACACAAATATACACAAATTCACATGAATGCAAGTTTAAAAATGGTTAAAACTGAATAAAGTCTGTAGTCTAGATAACAGTAATGCACCAATATCAACTTTTGGTTTTTGACACTGGGTAAACATGAACATAAAGATGGCAACCATACATACTGGGGACTACTAAAGGGGAAGGAAAAGAAGGCACAAAAGTTGAAAAACTAACTATTGGGTACTATGCTCAGTACACGGGTGACAGGGTCAATCATACCCCAAACTTTGGCGTTATGCAATATACCCATGTAACAAGTATACAGGTACTCCCTGAATCTAAAATAAATGTTGAAATTATTTGTTAAAATCTGCTTTTGATATTGTACTATAGCTATATACAAAGTCACCATTGGGAAAAGTTTACACAGGGTTCATAAGACTCTGCATTATTTTTGTCTTTTCTATAATTATTTCAAAATAAAAAGTTTAAACAAAAAACAGTCTTGGTTATAATAACCTGAATTTGAACCCAGGTCTCCCTAACTCTAAACTTGTGCTACCACCCTGTGTTCTATAATGCCTGCAAAATCTGTTCTATTAAAACATACTAAATATGCATAATTTCCTAGAGAGAAACATATAATACACAAGAAGTCCATCCTGGGTCACATTTAAAGAAATTAGGACAATTCAAAAAAACACTTTATTAGAAAGAAGTTTAAAATATCAAATCAGTTCATTCATAGCAACTAAGATCAAGTGTTCCAATGTACTAATCTGGTCATGAAAAGAGAACATCAGAAGTCTAATAGGAGGTGATAACTGGGCTGCTTTGGCATAAGGACTAGGGGTACTTTTTTTTCACTCCCTCTTAGTAGAGGTAGCTCTCTAGTTTCCTCCATGTTAACTTGTTCACCTGAAAGGTTAACAGCTGTTACGCTCCTTCCATACCAGGCAAACAAGCTGCACAGTAGAAAGCTGTAAATAAAGCCATTACAGCATACATTCACTTGGCATCCCTTTTCCATTCCTGATGAGACTATCCTTGTGAGATGTAAAACATGGCCAAATTACAATCATCACAGCCAGAGAGGTGAGCTAAAATTACCAAATCATTCTTGGGAGTAAACAAAAGTTGCTTCCTGTCTTCATATAAACTTACCTTACCCTTATACATTATGTAGCAGCTATGAAAAATTACACATTTAGGCAAGAGCAAGATAATAACATTTGAAAAACAAAATAGTGATGAGGTAGTTAATGATGTTCTGCTTTGCACCATTTTATGTTATTTCAGTAATTACTCTCAAAATATTTTTATTGATTGATCAGATAAATAACAAAACCAGAGTCAGATGGTTCACTGTGTCAAGTCTCCAGTGCTGAATGTCCTATTAGTCAGAGATGCTACAAATTCAATTACATATATTAAATAATTCAATTTAACAAATATACAATATTAAGTATTTTTAAGAAGAAGACATTGCTTTGGGAGTGGACACAAAAAGAGAAAATGGCACTATTGTGTGGCTCCCATGGGAAGACAGCAAAATCCAAAAAAAGACCATTATTACTGTTATTAAGTGTGTGCTGACACAGCAAATTCAATGTTATCTTCATAACAAGAAGAAAACTCGTGAGAGTGATCTTCAAGTATTTTAAAATGAAGTAGATATCATCAGTTGGACTTCCTCAGGACAAAACTAGGATCATGTGTATATACATATATGTGTATATATATATAAGATCATGTGTGCATATATCTTTTACATACATATGGATAGATATAATCTTTTAAATTTTTAAAAATTAAATCTCATATATTTATAGAATTTAGGGCATATATATTAACTTACTAGCTAGAGTGATAACTTGTTAAAACTACTGGAGAGGACTTCCTGAGACCCTTTCCAAGGACCTGTGCTCCCCAGAGGCGCCACAGGACAGAAGAAAGCATCCTGACACCCAGGGCCACAAATGAACAATCCATAGATATCACATATAACAGAGACCTGTACACTATGAGGTAACCTGAGGATGGAGTGAGTCATATTGGGTGGTGATTAAATGACCCAGCCTCCTCTTTCAAGAAGAGTTTTACATTTTAGACAGGAAGTAGAAGCAGCAGAGGAGAAAGGAAGTGTAGAGGCATCAGAAGGAAAGGTGAAAACTGAGCCTTGATTATGGCAAAGCAGCTGGTACAAAGCAACTGACACCGACCTCTTTTTTTTTTTGAGACAAGATCTCAATTGTCACTTAGGCTGGAGTGCAATGGTATGATCTCAGCTCACTACAACCTCTGCCTCCCAGGTTCAAGTGATTCTTCTGCCTCAGCCTCCCAAGTAGCTGGGACTACAAGCGCTTGCCAACAACATACCTGCTAATTTTTGTATTTTATGGTAGAGATGGGATTCACCACAGGCTTGTCTTGAGCTCCTGACTTCAAGTTATTTACCCACTTTGGCTTCTCAAAGTGCTAGGATTACAGGCGTGAGCCACCGCACCCAGCTGTAACTGATACCCGATTGTGAGGGAACAACAAGCTGACCAGTATCTGAACTTTCTGCTAAATTGCCAGAACTGTACAATATCCTCGCACAATGTTTCAGTTCTCCATAAGGCCCTTCTGTTCAGCTGCCAAAGCATTTCCTACTATCCTGTGTGAATTTATTATCACCACAGGGAACCTGGAGATAACAGTGAACTTCACATGAGCTCTGTACTCTTGGAAAAAGCCACAGTCAAGAAACTACCCCCACCCTTTTGTGTTGTGGGAAAGGGCTTGCTAGGTAAAACTGACAGATGACCACTTTGCAACCAATGACAAGGCCAGACATAGACCTTCCAAATTCCCATTCTCTGTCTCATACATGATTCGCCGAACTGTTTGTCCCCATTTACCATTCTGGTTGGTCAGTGCCCACAAACAACCTGACCAAACTTCAGTCAGGCTCCTCTCCTTCCTGGAAACCCCTGAACTTTGGTCCAGCCTGGAGCAATGGAAGGTGAGCAACCCCTCCTTAACAGCCCTTCCCAGAACCAGCTGATCTCAGGGAAAAACATTCCCTGATAACTGTTTCAAGCCACCCCCTCATACAATTCCTCAGCCCCAATTCTTTGTAGCCTTGTTTACTCCTTACTATAAAAGAAAAGCCCTTTTGTGCTTAACCCTTGAGACACTTATAGCTCATAGTTGAAGCAGTTATCCTGCTGCAATATTCTGCCTCTGCAATCATCCTCCTCCCTGTTTTGTAACAGTCTGTTTAAAGACTCTCCTTACCCAAGTCCAGATTTGTTTTTGACACTGTCAACCTTCAAACAGCCTAACTTTACAAAAGACAAATTAAAACCATTAAATATCCTCTCATTGACAATATTTTTTATAGAATCACAGCTACTGTATCTTTTTTGATATATAATCACATAATAAAATGTAACATCTATTATATTTTTCCCAATGTTGAAATAGAAAAATTAACTAGACAATTACTTATTAAAATAATTGGAATATGCTGGTTAAAATTAAGCATTTCATGATGAAAATGAAAACCTGAACCCAAACTACTTAAGTTTTGAAATCACTCAAATAATTTCTTTATATTTTCACTTTTGTCTTACACAGTTCAATCACTGCCTGACAACCTATTCAGAAGAAAAAAGTTTGATGAACTTGTATTTATGTTGGCCAACTATTAATTTGAGCTATGAAACTAACAATAACATACTTGCTAAAGTTCTGTCTGAATAACTTTCTGCAACTATCTGTCACTTATCCAGTGGTCCAGTACCCTAATCTCAGTCTAGTGCTTTTCACTGTAGAGGGTGCTGTAAATTGCACATTAATTGAAGAACATACAAAAAAAATCTCCAATGTTTTTAATCAAGAAGAAAAGCGTTTCTACATCAGAAAGGATTTTTTTCTAAAATACTTACATTTTTATTTATTAAAAATATTTTGAAATAATACTCACATAACAAACACATCACAGAAAAACCAACTACTCACCCGCATTGACTATAGCATCTACCTCTAGCAATGTGATGTCACCTCTATAGAGAGAAACTTTTTCTGCCAAACTTTTCTTCATCTGGGATGTTTCCTGAGTATTTTCTTCTGTAATGAAAAATGGATATATATCAATAATATTATTAATTAATTTAATCAAGATAACTTTTTAGTCAAGACCACTACCAGACCCAATATGTGTCATGCTCTATTACAAAAAACAAGCGGAAATAAGAGCATAGGTACTGAGGGTGTGATTTATTCTCTATTTATTTTGTAATCCTCAAAACAAACACACTATCACATACAAAATGGACATACAATAAATTTTGGCATGTTATATTGGTCAACAAGAAATTCAATACTTATGGGTAATTTTATTTAAATATCCATTTAAAAATAAAATTATGTACCATTACACTCACAAGGAGGTAAGAAAAAGATATACTAATCTTTAATCTTAGCTAAGAAGGACTTACCTGAAAGGCATCCTTGAAAAGAATATATATATTTGAGCAAAACAACATTTAGGTTCAGCTGTTTGCTACTTCTTTTTTATTTTTTGAGAGGGAATTTCACTCTATTGCCCAGGCTAGAGTACTGCAGCGGTGTAATCTTGGCTCACTGCAACCTCTGTCTCCCAGATTCAATAAATTCTTCTGCCTCAGCCCCTCCACCAAGTAGCTGGCATTACAGGCATAAGCCATGATGCCCAGCTAATTTTTGTATTTTTAGTAAAGACAGAGTTTTGCAATGTTGGCCAGGCTGGTCTAGAACTTCTGACTTCAAGTGATCCACCCACCTCAGTCTCCCAAAGTGCTGGAATTACAGGCAAGAGCCACCATGCCTGGCCAGCTCTTTGGTACTTCTAAGTAACAAACTATCACACAGGATAGGAAATTTTAAGAATATTTGAATTTGTGAAACTACTCCTTTCTTAACAAATTGTGTTTTACCTTTTGCTCTAGAGGGCGCTACTAGATTTAAAAAAGAAAGCTTTACTCCAACACACACCAGCCAGCAAGAGGGTATATTTAAAACAAGCCAAAAACATTACATTATGAAATGTGATTTTTAGAAAATGATTTAGAGCAAGACTATAAACTTGAATTTCCATTTATTTTTAACAAATAGTAATAAGATAAATTTAGTAAAAAAGCTGTACAAAATAAATGCTTTAAAATACATTAAATTGCTATTCATAAAAAGGTTTTTAGTATATTTATAGGAAAACTGATTTATATTTTTGAATTTATATTAAACTCAAACTTTTAAAGTATTTATGATATGTGTAAATCTTTCATGCAAGGAGATACTGCTATTCACTCACTGAGATACTTTCATTTTTAAAAGTATTTATGATATGTGTGTATTTTTCATGCAAGGAGATACTGCTATTCACTCACTGAGATACTCTTATAAGCATGCAATTTTGAGCCATCTGGGGGATTAGAGGTGATAGCTTATGAGTCACCTAAATTGTCTTTGGACCACAATAGCGTCCCCCCCCAAAAAAAAAATTTAGCTAAGACTAAGAAAATAACCTGTGACCACAAAAATGATCCTTCCTCTCTCTGTCTATGAAGTATTCCCTTCTTAGTAACTGCTTCTCTCCCAGAAAGATTCTAATCAAGATACTCACTGGTTGTAGTAATAATGAGAAGGAGAATAATGTGGGCAACTTGTATATTAAAGAAGTAGAGAAATACTTTAGGAAACCTCAAAATATGAAATACTTATACTTGAATTGACCTCTCGGGAACTCCTACAGTATTATTTATCTCTGCCAGATAGTGGTTAAGAGCAGACTTTACTACCAGACTGACTCTGTTCAAATCCTAATTTTGTCAATTAACAGCAGGGTAAGTTTCAATAAGTTATTCTCTCCATGCATCAGTCTGTAAACCACTGACTCCTTCACCGTTAACATGAGTTTATTACACTTAGAATGATTGCCTCATAGTAAGTGATCAACAAATGCTACCTTTTTTTTTTTTTTTGAGATGGAGTTTTGTTCTGGTTGCCCAGAATGGAGTGCAATGGCATGGTCTCGGCTCACTGCAACCTCTGCCTCCCAGGTTCAAGTGATTCTGTGCCTCAGTCTCCCAATTACCTGGGATTACAGATGCCCACCACCATGCCCAGCTAATTTTTTTGTATTTTTAGTAGAGACAAAGTTTCACCATGTCGGCCAGACTGGTCTCGAACTCCTGACCTCAGGTGATCTGCCTGCCTCGGTCCCGCAAAGTGCTGGGATTACAGGTGTGAGCCACCACACCTAGCCAACACAACTTTTTTTTTTTTACAAAGGTGACAAATATTATTTCAGCATCTATGGACCACAATACTAAATTTTTTTAATAATTTATTTAAAATAAAATATATATTATTATTTCTTGTCAGTGAAAGAGACTGTATTTTGTTTGTACACTTATCAAATTGTCAACACCTGACCCAATGACAAAGACTCCAACCCACAAGTCCTTGAGTTCCACATCCAACTAGTTTCGATCATGATTACTTTAACCAAACTATAAACTCTTGATTCCCCACTAATGATTATAAAATGACAATAAACATTTGGTGGCTTTGTCAGGGAGAACTGGATATTTAGACTATTGTGAACCTAAAAATTATAAAGAATCATCACTAAAGATGTTTCAGAACTCTATCCGGCATTAAATTGACAGACTTATCACAAATGAATGCAGAAAGATTGACCGTTTCAACTGGGGAGACAATGTAAATAGATTTCCTAATCATTCTTTAACTGCTTTTAGCTCTAAAAAGTATTATTTCCTCATTTTCTCATGAAGCATTATGTAAGTAACATTACATTTGTAGTGACAGAACTTTTAAACATGAAAATAAGTCATGTGTTTCTAAAAAGTAAAGAAATTATAAAAGAAAGGTATGGGAAAACATTTAAGTTTAGACCATTTATACCACTGTTCAGTTTTATTTGTTGTTGTTTCTTTTTGTTTATTTTGTTTTGAGACAGAGTCTCGCTCTGTTGCCAGGCTGGAGTGCAGTGGTGCGATCACAGCTCACTGCAACCTCCACATCCTGGATTCAAACAATTCTCCTGACTCAGCCTCCCAAGTAGCTGGGACTACAGGCGCATGTCACCATGCCCAGCTAATTTTTGTATTTTTAGTAGAGACAGGGTTTCACCATGTTGGCCAGGATGGTCTTGATCTCTTGTCCTTGTGACCTGCCCGCCTTGGTCTCCCAAAGTGCTGAGATTACAGGCATGAGCCACCGCACCTGGCCCCTGTTCCATTTTTTAAAAAGAAACTCTAATCTGTCATCTGCAGATTTTTTAGATGGAATATTTTGAGACTGAAGTGAAGATTCAAGCTATTCAACATATTGAATTAATATACTGCTGTGACATGTCGCTCAATTAAGTTACTCAAAATGGTCTTTACTTGAATTATCAGCATTATGAAGGAATATTTTCATTGTCTCTCATTTTAAAAACTAATATGAGGCTCTTTTTACCTCAATAGTCAGATTATACTTACAGCCCAATTCCTCACATAGTATGCCAAAAAGATATATACATCCTTAAAGGCTACAGTTTGATAGTACTGATAATTAGCAGTATTTCCTTCAATAATAAATCAAAACCTAGTGGAGGATTTTTGACTACCAACTATTATTTGCAAATACACAATATAAATTTCCATTTAGAGGCCACCTTTTTAATTTGCATAGCAATATCTTGCCTTCCTTTTCACAAACAGATCTCATTGTATCTTTTTCCATATACTAGGTTTTCAATAATAAATAGAACAAAAAGTTGCCAAATAATCTCCCTCCTGGACATTCTGTATGTACACAAAGCACCAACTCAAACTTTGTACATCACTGGATTTATTCAACTGTAAGTTGAAATATCTGTCAGTGTAAACACATGACAGTAATTGCTCTTCCATATTGTATACTTTCGATATTGCCAAAGAAAGCCAGAAGTGGTAGTGATTAAAGCAGTAAAAACAGATTTTATTCAGAAACTATTATAATAAAGGGAAACAGACCTCAGTATAGAACTGAGATCCATTCCAAATACAGCATTAACAAGCAGGGATTTATTACCAAGGAGCAGGATGAAGGCCAGTGGATGTACAATAACTAAGAGGAAACATAGGGGGATTCTGGTTATAGCACCTTAACAATATTCTTGCTGAAGGCAAGCCAGGGTGATCACATATTGCCTGGTGGGGGATGAGCAATTTGACCAAATATCAAGGGTGATCAGATATCAAGGGTAAAAGATTTTCTGTTAACTAACTTAGCAAGATTTTTGCTGAAACTAGGCTATGCAGGTATTACAAGGAGGGGCCTAGACAAGAAAAGGGCTTAGAGAAATCTGACTAAAGTTTGGTTAAGAAGAGTCTTTGTCGGTCCCTCTTCTTGTTCAAGGAAAGAAGAGATTTTCATGAAGTTACCCATATATGAAAAGTTGTGGTGATTTCCAGTTTATACCAGGTGGTACAGCTTCAACTTCTTGGGCTTTAGGAAAAAGATAGTTTTAATTATCAGTGATGCCAAGTGAGGAAGGTGGGGAAAAATTAGAAATGTTAGTTTGGAGACTTGTAGTCAGCTATCAGAGGAAACTAGAAGAACTGACAAAATGTATAAGATGGCAGGATCCAGTCCAATACACAGGTTGACAACGGAAAGCCAAAAAAAAATAACGGGACTAGAATTTCATAACCCACAAAGGTACACTATAATTTTCTCTCTCCAGTCACTCCTTTGAAAATTCTTGTTTACAAAATAAGCCTGATCTCATTAGATTTGGCCTGGTGATTTACATAATTGCAGCAAGAATGACCACTTAGGCCTTTTTGAGGTTTTTTTGCTGGAATTTTTCATGAGGAATCTCAGATTAGACTTTAAAAGCCTCTTGAAGCTTAAAAGTCAAGCCAAGCATGACCATATTTTTCCTATAAGAACTATAGATTTGGGTGAATCCCTCTCTTCCTGAGGTTCCCAAAAGATCCTAAGCTTCCTGGACCTGCCAGGAAGTGACCTTCCTTACCCACCTGTAAGGCTGGGAACCCTGTAACAGCAGTCTCCAACCTTTTTGGCTCAATGGA